GATGACCCATCACTGTCTTCTAGGAGGAGGTCTCATTTTGCCAGTTCTGTGGCAGTGGACTGAGAGGTGGGGTGCCCCTGTTCCCAAGCTCCTGATGGAAAAACAAATTTTCCCTTTGTAAATTGACAGCTGAAGTATTTTTTCATTATACTTCTAAAGAGTTGCAAAGGATATCCGTACCAACCTATTCTGTTTATTGCATATATGTTTTAACTATATTTTGAGCAAAATCTAAGTTGCAGATTTAGTTTGTTGGTTTATAAAAATTGTCTGGCCAAGCAACTAATTGGCTAACTTGAGCCTTAGGCCTTACTGTCGAATCCAGAAGTCTTTTTTTTTTTTTTTTTTTTTTTTGGTATCAGACATTAAACCCACGGAACTCTATCACTGAGCCATTTTAATTTCTTACATTAAGGTCTTGCTAACTTTCTCAGGATGGTCTCTAACTTGCAATTCTCCTGCCTCAGCCTCCTGAGTAGCTGGGATTATAGGCATGTGCCACTCTAACCTGCTTTGACTTCTTCTTCTTCTTCTTTTTTTTTTTTTAAAGAAAGTTTTATTGAGGTATTATTTTATGTATCATAAAACAGACTCATTTTTAACTTACTGTGCTTGCACTGAATACAGGTTCTTCATCACATATATGATTTACAGATATTTTCTTAATTGTATCTTTTGAAACACAGAGTATTGAAATTTTGATGAATTTTTACTTGTTGATTTTTTAAATGTTTGTTTTTGTTGCCAATAGAAGAAATCTTCCCAACCCTAGGCTATGAATATTTATTCCAGTGTTTTCTTCTGAGAGGTTTGACTTGCTCATTTAGATCTATGATTTATTTATTTATTTTTGTAGTACTGGGAATAGAACCCAGGGGTGACGCTGAGCCACATCCCCTGCTGTTTTCTTTTAAAAATGTGGAGACAGGGTCTTGCTAAGTTGCTGAGGCTGAACTCAGACTTTGTGATCTTCTTGCCTCAGCCTCCCGAGTCTCTGGGATCACAGGCACAGGCCACTGTGGCCCGGTGCTAAGATGCATTTTGGGTTGGTTTTTGTGTAGGGTGTGATCTTACTTGTAGCTGAAACAGACTTGTTAGCGTCCATCCCCATGAAGAATGCTCCAGTCTTCCAGGTGAATGGACCTTCATGCCATGGGCACTGGGTGACATAAGGCTCTGTTCCCAGCGGTATTTTTGCTGAACATCTTTGCTTTACTCTGCCTTCTCCACTTTCTTTCATCTTGTTCTGAGGTTGTATAGCCAGGGCAGGTTCTGAGCAGTGAGAGGTGGGTCTTTCTTTTGTACAGTGGGGTGAGGAGAAGGAGGTCGCAGGCCCTTTCTCAGCCTGGTGGCGTGGCTGGGTTTGGACCAGCCCTGATGGAAGCAGAAGGTCTGCGTTGATTGTCGTCTCAAGAGGTGTGCTCCTGAACCCCACAGAAGGTCTTCCCACCCTGAGGTCTGCGTGCCTGCAGATCAAAACCCGGCTCAGGTATCCCTGTTTCCAGGCACTGATTTCCCTCAGGTACCTCTGTGTTCCTTCATCTCTCCCCAAAACAACCTTACACATGACCTTTTGTTTTGCTACCTAAATCTGTATTCATTCATTCGTTTGTTCATTCATTCAACCACAAATGTTTAATGCCTGCTATGTGCCAGGTGCTGCATTTGGCACTTAGATGTTATGGCAAGCAAAGAAATAGGTCATTTCTCCCTTCCTGGAGCATTCAGTCCAGTGGAAGAGATAATGTTAATTAAATAGTCACATGGACAAATGTTAATTAAATAGTCACATGGACAAATGGAAAATTTTTGGTACATAAAACTCGTGTAACATGAACTCTCAGAAGAGAAACTGCCCTGAATTGTTGGGAGGGTTGGGAAGGCCTTTCTGAGCAGATGAGACTTAGCTGAGTTGAAGGAAGGACAATGAGGCATGGGTGGAGGGTGGTGCATGGTAGACATTTCTGGTAGAGGTGTCAGCATGTGCAAAGGCCCTGAGCTGGCTCCAGAGTTCCCAGGAGCTACCAGGTTAATGGAGTGAGCTGACAGTTAAGAAATGGGTGCTCTTCTTAGGCCTGAAGGACTTAAAAAAAAAAAAAAAGGCTTTCACTTATATTCTTCATTACAGATTTTTAAACCTCAGACCAAAAATTTAAGTTAAGAAAATAGAGCTGTAAGTCTTTGTGACCTTGGATTAGACAGTGTTTTCTTATATATGACACCAAAATCATAAGGAGCCAAAGAAAAAGTAGATAAACTGAATTTCATCAAAATTTTAAAAATTATGCTTCCAAGGGCACTATCAAGAAAGTGAAAAAGCAATCCATAGAATGTGAAACGATATTTACTTGTAAATATTATATCTAAAAAGAGTCTAGCCTCCAGAATATAAGGAATTCTTCAAACTTAACAACCAAAAGAAAACAGCCCTAGTTAAAAATGGACAAAAGCAGGGCTCCCTGGTGCATACTTGTAATCCTAGATTCTCTGGAGGCTGGGGCAGGAGGATTGCAAGTTTAAGGCTGGCCTGGGCAACTTAGTGAGGCCCTAAGCAACTTAGCAAGACCCTGTCTCAAAATAAAAAAGTAAAAAGGGCTGTGGATGTGGATGTGGATGTGGCAAAACACACCCCTGGGTTAAATCCCTGGTAGTAAAAAAAAAAAAAATTAACAAAAGATTTGAGTAGACATTTCTCTATGCAAATGGTCAATAAGCACAAGAAAAGATGACCAACATTATCAGTGGCTAGAGAAATTCACATCAAAACCACAATGAGATACCACTTCACACCTGCTGGGGTTGTAATAATGATAATAATAATGATAATGATAATATGAGCTTGCATAACAATATACTGCATGCTGGATAGCTTTGAAACAACAAACATCTATTTTCCTCCGTACTGAAGGCTGGGAAGTCCGAGAACAAGGTACCAGCACACACACACATTGTCTGGAGAGGGCCTGATTTCCTGGTTCATAGATGGTACCTTTCCACTGTGTCCTCCCATGGTAAAGGGGCTACTGGTTCTCTGGGGTCTCTTTAGGGAACTAATCCCAATCATCTCCCAAAGACCTACCTCTCAGCACCATCACCTTGGGGGTTAGTTTTCAACATATGAATTTTGTAGCAGCACAAAGCATTTGCTGATAGTAATGATAAAACAGAGAGAATGGCAGTATTGCTGAAGATGTAGAGGGTCTGGGGTTGCAGCTCAGTGCTAGAATGTCTATCATATGTGAGGCACTGGTTCAATCCTCCACAGCACATAAAAATAAATAAGTAAATAAAATAAAGATCCATTGACCACTAAAAAATATTTAAAAAAAGATGTGGATAAACTGGTATTCTTATATTGCTAGTGCGAATGTAAAATGGTACAGCCCCTGTGAAAAACACTCTGGTAATTTCTCAGAAAGTCAAACATACAGTTATTACATGACCCAGGATTCTTCTGAATGTACACCCCAAAAAAGTGAAAATTCATGTTCACCCAAAGAATTGTGCTACAGCTAGGCATGGTGGTGCATGCCCGTAATCCCAGCAGCTCAGGAGGCTGAGGCAGCAGGATCATGAGTTCAAAGCCAGCCTCAGCAACTTAGCGAGGACCCAAGCAACCTAGCAAGACCCTGTCTGAAAATTAAAAAAATAAAAAGGACTGGGGATGTGGCTCAGTGGTAACGCACCTGGTTAAATCCCTAGCACCAAAAAGAAAGAAAGAATTGTCCTGCAAGTGTTCCCAACAGCTTTTATTCATAATAGCAAAAGAGGAAACAACCAAATGACCCCAGTTGGTGAGTGGATGGACAGAGTGTGCATAGCCATGTAGTGGAGTATTAGCCTTTCCAAGGAAGACAGATTTTGTGCTGTAGATTTTGAATGTTCCCTGAAGGCCCAGGCGCTGATTGGTCCCTAACCCGTGGCGCTGTTGGGAGGTTGTGGAACCCTTGGGACTTGCAGCCTAGCAGTTATTGGGGGCGTGTCCCTAAAAGTTTTATTGGAAGCCCCGCATTTCCCGTTTCTCTGAAACCTGACCACCACGAGGTGAAGCGACCTCTTCCATCCTGTGCTCCTGCCATGATGGACTAGCACCGCTGAAACCATAAGCCAAATAAACCTTTCTTCAAGTTGAGTGTCTCAGGTGTTGTGTCACATTAATGGGAAGCTGACGAACACAGCCCCGACATGGACGAGCTTGATGTGCTAAACAGAAGAAGCAGACCCACGAGAGGATGTTTGGTGTATTCCACTTACACGACACGTCCAGAGTAGACAAGTGCCTGACCCTGAAGGTAGATCAAGGGTGGTCAGAGGCTGAGTGTGATTGTTACTAGTTTGTTTGTTTTGTGTTTTTTTTTTGGGGGGGGGGGTGTGATTGCACAACTTCACGAATGTACTAAAGAGCACATACCATAAAATTTACCTTTTAAAAGTGAGTTGTAGCTCAATAAAAAATGCTCCTTAACTTAGTGTTTCGTTTTCCTCCACTTTATTGTTTCTACCTTTTAGTCTTAAAGATCTCAGCATCTTTCAGGAGGTTGGTTAATAAATCAATTCATTAAGCCAAAAAGCTGGCCCCAGATACCAGCAATTTTGGCTTTTTCTGTCTCCTTTATTTAGTGGCAGAGATGCCAGACGTATGGTGCTGCTAGGAAGGGACAGGTATCAAAGGGGAACTGAAATCAGTCGAGTAAAACCCATGTTTTTTAAAAAGTGTGTCATTATTTGTTGTTGTGTTGGGGTTCAGGCCTCGTGCATGCTAGGTGAGCACTCTGCCACTGAGCTACACCCTAGGGTGCTTTTTAGTCTTTAATTTACATGTTTTTTTAGTTCCTCCTTACCTCTTTTCCAATCCTTGTGACATCCTGCCCCTGTTTCCTTGATCTTCCTTAAATTCTCCACCCGTCCTTGGTACTAGGGATTGAACCCAGGGGCACTGTACCACTGAGCTACATCCCAGCACTTTTTAAAAATTATTATTTTAAAACAGTCTTGGGGCTGGGGATGTGGCTCAGTTGGTAAAGTGTTTACCTGGCATGCACAAGGCCCTGGGTTCCATCCCCAGCACCCCCCCACACACACACAAAAAAAAAAACAAAACAAAAAAAAAGACAGGGTCTCACTGAGTTACTGAGGCTGGTGTTGAACTTGCTGAACTTTTGATCCTCTTGCCTCAGCCTCCTGAGTTGCTGGGATTACAGGTGTGCACCACCACACCCACACCCAGCCCTTCAATGGTTTTCTTGACTTAAACTTTTTCTTTTTCCTTTTCTCATGGTGCTGAGAATTGAACCAGGCTCATGCATGCTAGGCAAGTGCTCTATGACGGAGCCACATCCTCAGTGCTAGACCCCTGTGCCCAGGAGAGAACTAGAGCTGGCAGGGTGTCTCTTGGTTGTGTGTTTGCTTGTCAATTGGCTATAATGGGATAGGAGACGGGGTTGGAAGCAAGCATTGCTGCTTGTAAAGCTTCCCAGAGCTGCTGATACTGAGAAAATGGTTTTCTAATTTAATCCTAAAAAATATTGTTTCCCTAGGACGTCAGATGTCTTCACTGGCCAGGCTCCATAGAAGACAATATGGAAGACAGTCCGTAGCTAAAAGGTAAAGCAAAATATTCTTTAAATGTATGTCTTGGTTTTTAGGTGAAGACACACATGTACATATCAAAATTTAATTTGGGCAATTGTTGCTGATTTCATTTTTAGTTTGTATAATTAGAAAACTGACATCTTTAATTCTTTCCTGATGGCATAAGTAACACACATTTTAAAAGAACTTTCCATTTTGGAATAAGTGTAGACTCAAAAGAGGTGGCAACACTGAATGGGTGATAGAAAACAGCGCATTATTCTCTCTCTGCACCTGTCCTAAACTTTTGCCAGGGTTAACAGTTTGATTTTGGGGTTTTGTTTTTGTTTTAGAGTACTAGGGATGGAACACAGGGCCTCATGCACACGAGGCAAGAGCTCTACCACTGAGCTACATCCCCAACCCTTGGTGTATTTGTTTTAAAAGTTTTATTATATTGTTGGTAAATTTGTAGACGAATCATCCATTCTCCTATTTGAAGAGAGTTTGCACGCCTCATTTCTTATGAATGCGCATGAACACTCACCTCTTGCAAATGCCAAAGTAGATACCATCAAATATTTTTAGATTGTTTTTATACATTATTTACAAGCTCTGTGGTCCTCACTCAGAACTTAATTGCTCCCAAAGAACCTAAGCTGGCCCACCACTCCACTGGGGCATGCTTCTCAAACTTTAGGATGACCAAGAAACACCTGGGAAGAGATTCTTAAAAGTGCAATTCTCTGCTGGGCGTGGTGGCACATGCCTGTCTTCCCAGCAACTTGGGAGGCTGAGGTAGGAGGATTGAGAATTCAAAGTCAGCCTCAACAAAAGTGAGGCGCTACGCAACTCAGACTCCGTCTCTAAAGAAATACAAAATAGGGCTGGGGATGTGGCTCAGTGGTTGAGTCCTCTTGAGTTCAATCCCTGGTACCCCCATCACCTGCTGAAGTTCAATTTCCTGAGCCCCAGCCCTGCTGTTTTTAAAGGCCTGAGGCCCAGGGACCTGCATTTTTAATCAACATAGCTCAGGTGACTCGTGTTATAAGTCTTGGAACCATTTTAAAAATCCTGCAGCATCAAATTGCTGGTGCCAGCTCTCTGGGAAACCTTGCAGCCTGCTAAGCACAGCTGCAGGTGCTTGGGATATTGGGCTGGTTGTTCCTGGTAGCAGTCAGGTTACTTGTAATAAAAGCCAGTCTGGGTAGGTGCTGCTATCGATCTGGAGACACATATTGGACTCTCAGACTGGCCCCCATTACATTCCTGGTGTTTAGCTGGTTGTCTGCCTGGCTCAGAGCAGGTACCCTTGTTGGTGTTGAGCAAGAGAACAAATGTTTATTTACGCACACACACACACACACACAGATACACACACCTTAAGCAGCAGTCATCTTTGCTATAACCTAATAAAAAAGGAGAGTAGGAAATAAACTGCAAAACTTGTCTATAGAAGCCTTCAAAACCATAGGCATTTGGACCATACATTAGTTTTCTGCTACTGTAATAATAAATTTTCACAGACTTAATAGCTTAAAAGAACACAAATTTATCACCTTATAGTTCTGTGAGTCTCACTAGGCTTAAATTGAGGTGTAAACAGCTGCATTCCTTCCTGGAGGGGCCGTGGGAGAGAACCCCCCTCCTTCCTCCTTCAGCTCTTTGGCAGAGTTGGCTTCCTGGTGGGTGTAGGACTGAGGTCTCCATGTCTTTGCCAGCTGTCCTCTGTGGATTGTTCTACCTGCTACTTACATTCCTTGGCTTGCAGCCCCCTTCTTCCATCTTTAAAGCCACCAATGGGACGTTCGTCTCACACTTCAGAATCCCCTCCTCCTCTAGCTCATCTCTTTGATTGCAGCCTGGTGTGATTAGGTCCACCCTGATATCCAGGACCGTCCTTCCATCTCAACGTCCATAACCTTCATGAGACCTCTAGTCCCCTTTGCCAGGTACGTTAACAAATTCACGGACCTGGGGATTCAGGTGTGGACATCCTGCTGGCTCAGTCTCATAAGGGGGTAAAAATACAGAATATATATTTGCAAACATGTATGTACAGTTTTCCCATTTGTTGAAGAAAACTATCCTTTTCCCATTGACTTGTCTTGACACCTTATCAAAAATCACTTGACCACAGATGTAGGAGTGTATTTCTGGGTTCTGCATCTGGGCTCTTGTTTTATATATCTGCCTTTATAGAAATCTTTATTTAGTCAGTGCCATGCTATTTTGATTGTTGTTCTTTTCTGCATCAACTAAGATGATCATGTGGATTTTTTTGTTCATACTTTTATGATGATGCATTACATTGATTGATTTTCATTTATTAAACCATCTTTGTATTTCAGGAATGAAGGCCTCTTGATTAAGGTGCAGAATTGTTTTAATGAGCTGCTCAATTCTGTTTCCTAATATTTTGTTGAAGATATTCATATATTCATATTGAAGATATTCAATATTCATAGGGCAGATTGGTCTATAATTTTCTTATCATGTTTTTTTCTGGCTTTAGTGTCAGGATAACTCTGGTCTCATGGAATGAACTGGGAAGTGTTCAGCTTTTGAAAGAGCCTGGGAAAGATTCTTGTTAGCTTTTCTTTAAATGTTTGGTAGAATTCACCAGCAAAGCCATCTGCTCATGGGCTGTTCTTTTTTTGGGAATTTTTCAATTATTGATCCAATCATCTTGCTAGTTTGGAATTTATTCAGTCTTTTTATTTCTCTATGATTCAGTCTTGGTAGTTTGAATTCCAGAATTCGTATGATCTTGGTAGGACAGAATCTAGGAATTTGTCCATTTTGTGTAGATCAGACTTTTTTTTGGTTTTTATTTTTTCCTTATTCCAGAGATTGAACTCAGGGGTGATTTACCACTGAACCACATCCCCAGGCCTTTTTATTTTTAATTTTTTAAATATTTTTTTTAGTTGTGGATGAATCTTTATTTATTTGTTTATATGCATTGCTGAGGATCAAACCCAGGGCCTCACACATGCTAGGCAAGTGCCCTACCACTGAGCCACAACCCCAGCCCCTTATTTTTTATTTTGAGACAGGGTCTTGCTAAGTTGCTTGGGGCCTAACTACATTGCTGAGGCCGGCTTTGAACTTTCGATCCTCCTGCCTCACTCTTCTGAGCCATAGGCATTAAAGACCATGTGCCACTGTGCCTGGCTGGTCATCCAGTTTTTTTTGATATACAGTTGTTCAAAGCACTACCTTATAATTCTTTTTACTTCTGCAAGATTTGTATTCATTGTCTCTTTTTCATATCTAATTTTAGTTACTTGTGTAATCTCTGTTTTTTCCTTTGTCTGCCTAGCTGAAGCTTTGTCAATTAGATTAGTTAGATCTTTTTGAAGAACTACCTCTTGGTTTGATGATGTTTTTCGATGCTTTGATTTATTTATTGCCTATTACATCTTTATGATTTCTTTACTTCTGTTATTTTTAGATTTTGTTTGTTTTTCTTTTTCTAGTTTTCTCAGGTGTGAACTGAGGTTGACTTCAGATCTTTCTTTTCTTGTGTAAACATTTCCAGCTCTAAGTTTTCCTTTACCATTGTTTTTACTGCATCTCCTAAGTGTTGATAAGTGCTGTATTTATTTTATTCTGTCTCAAGATATTTTCTAATTGCCCTTATGATTTTTCTCTTTAGCTTCTTGTTTAAGAGTGCGTTATTTAATTTCTACATACTTGTGGGTTTTCTTTCTACTGTTGATTTCTAGTTTCATTCTATTGTAATCATCAAAGACAATTTATGTGATTTCAGTGTTTTAAAAAAATAATAAAATGTTCTGAAATTTGTCTGTGGGCCTGGATGTGGTCTACCTCAGAGAGTGTTCAATGAGCATTTGAAATATGTGTGTTTTGCTGTTGGTGGGTACGCTGTTCTGCAGTGGTTGAGGTAAGAAAGCCCTCTTAATCTAGAGTCCCCTAAATTTTTTTGTTTTTAAAATATCTTATTTTAAAGTACTGGACAGAATAACCCCCACATTTGAAAAATGTCACCCACACAGCAGGGTGGGGCAAGTCATAATTCATTGAGTTGAAGGATGCTTCATAATCTGTTTATTCTTCTATTATTTATCAGTTGGCCTACTTCTTAATACCCTTTATCGATTCTCCAGTTTTTCTGAAATATAGTTCCAATTTGAAAGATAAAACATTTATCTTTAATTTTTTTAAGTTATAGATGAACACAATATTTTTCTTTAAATTTATTTTTATGTGGTGCTGAGGATTGAGGAAGGGTTTTTAAAAAAATATTTTCATTGTAGATGGACACGATACCTTTATTTTATTTATTTATGTGGTGTTGAGGTTCGAACCCAGTGCCTCACATGTAGCTCTACCACTGAGCTACAACTCCAGCTCAAGGGAGGGTTTTAATATATGTGAGTTGTTAGAGTAATTCCCACATTTGAGAAATGTCACCAAGACAGCAGGATGGGGTAAAGCAGACATTTATTTATTACATATTAAGTGGGTAGCAAAGT